GGGCGAGGTTGTATAAAGGACTCATTTTGTCGTTGTTTGCGTTTTCTGTCTTGGATGCTATACCGGTACCACCAATTTTGTATACTTTAGTTTTACGATCACCTAGTCACGGACCAGTCTTTATGAAGGTTTGATCCACAGTTTACCGACCACATTGTCCGCTAAAGACAGAACGACATTCACAAGACAGACACAGAGATCAGGGGAAAAGATAGGACCACCTAGCGATACGCCCCAGAAACACCGGCGACTCAGATAGACGGTTCTAGCAGCCAACTCGTCACTGCTCCCAGGTTTCCACATGAGGGGACTCGCACGCCCAACAGGCAACACAGAGCCGGCGCCGGGCTCCCGTGCCTTCAGGCTTAGCCGGGATTTGTTGGCCAGGAGCCCGGCGAGTGTGTCTGCGAGAGAGCAGACGTGAGGAACCGTTTCGTTCAGTTGAGTCGGTCGCCAGCCGTCCGCGGCCACTCACAGCACACTCCGCGGCCCTTGGTCATCATAACAATTTTCTCTCCGCCAGTTGGTCAACATAACAATCTTCCTCTCCACTGGTGAGTCTTTTTTATTATGTTATTGTTAAATGTGACACGACGCGATAGAATCAGGCGCTCGTCAATGTTGGGGCATGTGGAGTTATTGGTATCATCTTGTCTTTAATTGTGAGGCATATACTGACAAAATGAGTTACTTCTTGGATTTTAGCTCAATGGAAATAGATGTGTCGCATTTATTTGAATTTTTACATTTTATTAGTATGAAATGATAATAAAAGATAATAATATGTTAAACTTGAAGAGAATGGTAATGGTTTAGAATCTACAATTATGACGTTTGTGTTGATTTTTGACTGATATCTCCTTTCGTGGATTGCAAGAAGTAACTTATTTTGTCAGCACACCTCACAAATGTGTCACGACACGATGAGGGAATCAGGCGCTCGACAATGTTGGGGCATGTGGAGTTATTGGTATCATCATAAAGCTTTTTGTTATTTGTCTATCTTTAAATGAAAAAAAAAATGCCCATCTGTTTTCAACGGAAAACGAGGATTTTTGTGATTGAAGGAGGTGGGGGTCATCTGCATCTAGTGTCAGAGGAAAATTAGCGAGAAAATGGCCCTCAAAGTTTAGTGACTTTCAAGTTTGGGTGTCTTTGGAAACTGCAAATTTACATTTTCTTTGCACCTTTGATCGGCGTTTTTCCGGTAAAATTCTACACAGGAATGTGCTTTTTACTGCTTTTTAAAAAAAATTTCATTATTTTAAAGAGCACCCGATTCACCACAGTGCACGCAAATATAATGTATGATTCATAATTTTGTTATTTATAATTCATATGGTAAATATCCATAATTCGTAAATCTAATACACCTAAATGTTTAAATGGAATTTTATAATTTAATTTTAGCAATGGTCTTTCTCGATGTTCCTTCAATTTTTCCTTTCCTTTTAAATTTGTAAATTTCTGTGTCACAAATACTGGAAAAGGTGTCTTTAAAAAAATGAAGCTAATTCCCATCACCCCTGCC